CAATTAGAACCTGCGCACACGACGACAAGGCCTAGTGAAACTTCAGTCACGAGAAACAAACGTCATTCTGCAAATGTCAAAGGTTCTAATTGCGGAGGGACTCGGCTACAACTTACTGAGTGTCAGTCAGCTGATGGCAAAGGGTATCCACCTTGAAGCAGACAGCACAACACAGGAGTTCAAGTTGTACCACGGGAAAGGAGGCCTCTATATCGGCAAAGCCGTGCTGAAGAACAGCATGTTCGTTCTCGACTTCGTTCCAGATTTAGGCACCGCCGACAGCGACGGAATCGTCACCTTCACCTCCTGGACGCACCCACCGGATCTTGATTCTGACTTTAGCCCCGAAGGCTTCTGGTATTCACATAATATCCCTGAGGCAGAATTAACACAAGCATTAGCAACGATTCAATACTCGGCAGCAACAGAGACAACATCGGCAGCAGCAGAAACAACATCGGCAGCAGCAGAGACAACATCGGCAGCAGCAGAGCCAACATCGACACCAATCGCAGGTCCTTCAACGGCACCGGTCTTCGTCGACAACACACCACCGACTCCCGCGCAACAGTTGAATCCAACTCCACAAGAAGTCCATCGAAGTGCAAACCACACCGCAGGGTTCTACTCCAACTCCGACATGTACCGCCGCTCACCCAGACATCGCGCTGACAAAGATTTCTGGCATAAACGAATGGGATATCCGAGCAACACAACGTTAAACAACACGATACGAGCAGGCGTTCTTGACAAAGACTCACTACTCTTACCCGACGGCAGAGAACTTCGACGAATGAGAGGAACTTGCTTCACCTGCCCAGAAGCTAACTTACCACATCAGCCCTTCGTTTCTCACCACAACCCGAGCGCATCAGCTTACGCACCACTTGAGAAAGTGTACAGCGACATCCTGTACAACCGTAAACCTGGACAAGAAGCATACAACTACACCATCACGTTCATCGACACCGCCACTAGTTATGTCTGGCATCTCAACCTTCCAAGCCGTGACATGGCCTTCGAAGCCTTCGTAGCCCGGCTCCCAGTAGCAGAACGGGAATCGGGAGTTAAGCTGAAAAGCTTTCAGTCTGATGGGGGGGGGAGAATACACCTCACAGAGGTTCAAGCAGTACTTGGCAGAGAGAGGAATCAAGCGGCTCATCTCCCTTCCTTACGCCCATCAACAGCAGGGTGTAGTAGAAAGAATGAACAAAACTCTTCAAAACACCATGCGCAAGCTGCTACGTGGCATGTGGCTACCCAACCACCAGTGGCCCGAAGCAATGGACCACGCCGTGATACTGCACAACTTGCTTTTGTCATCATCGCTCTCGAACAACGCATCACCGCATCTGCTGTGGACACGAAAACTGGGCAGCACAAAAATGTTGCGGAATTTCGGCTGCATGGTACAGTACCGACCCCCAGCTGCACGCGCTGGCCGATTCTCCCAACGCGCACAGTGGGGACTACACCTGGGCATTGAAAAGAATTACAATGCGTGGAAGATTTTCGACGTCCACTCAAAGGAAACAGTAGCAGCACGTGATGTCATTTTCTACGAGTGACCCACCCTTTCAACGTACCTGCACAACTTGGAGACTTCACGAGATGTCACAGGCGGATTTCGTGGGGACCGAGCGTTCGCTTCGGCAGAAGACGAAGCTGACCTGGACGAGCAAACCATGGATGGAGCTTCGGAAGAAGCGGAACCACTTCCCTACTGCTCGGTGGATATCCCAATGGACGATGACAACCCCCGCGAAAGCATCAACGCCGAAGTCTTCTACGACTTCGCCGACAATGGTTACGTTACACTCGCGTGACTCAACACCAACGAATCCGAACGCATAGGACCCAATTTCTTACCTGATCCAGAAGAAGGTGACAAAGCAGCTTATCCCGAGGATACGACACTTCCCCGCTACACACAGAGCGGGCTCCAGATACTCGGCCTCGTCACCGCGGTCCACGGCACGGAGATTCCTAAGGAGCCTGCCACAGTTCAGCAGGCTCTGGGGGGGGAGCATAGGGAGAAATGGCGCGAAGCCATGGACAGGGAGCTGAAAGCACTGGAGGAACGCAACACTTGGAAAGTCGTTCCCATCAGCGTGGCACAAAACAAGACAATACTCATCGGGAAATGGTTCTTCCGTGTGAAGACAAAGGCAGATGGCACCATCGATAAGTTCAAAGCGCACTGGGTCGTACACGGCTTCGACCAAGAACACGGACGCAACTTCACTAAAACGTTTGCGCCGGTCAGCCGACACACTTCACTGCGAATTCTTCTCGCAATCGCCGCCATGAAGAAAAGGAAGCTACGACAGATTGATGTCGCCAATGCCTTCCTCTACGCACCCGTTGACGTAGAGATCTTCGTTGAACTACCGCACGGGTCAAACGGAGAACCTAACAAAATGTGTCAGCTGCTGAAGTTCCTGTACGGCATCAAACAGGCACCGAGACTGTGGCAGCAGTATCTGCACGCCACACTTGTTTGCATTGGTTTCTGCCAGCTACTGCACGACCAGGGCATGTACCGACTCACCAAGGGTAACGATTACATTCTACTCATCGTCTACGTAGATGACCTGCTCTACATCGGCTCGACCGACGACGTCATTACCTGGTTCGAAGGGGAGCTACAACAAGATCTCACGCTCACGGTCTCGTCTACCGTCACGCAATATCTTGGCCTTAACGTTCAACTCGCCACCTATCTCAAAAGGCCCGAGGTAGAACATATGGTGGAGCTCGACCGCGCCCTTCACTACCTCGTTAGCACTCCGACGATCGGCTTGACTTATCACAAGAACGGAACCTCGACACCTAAGTTAATCGGCTACGTTGACGCTGATCACGCCGGCGAGTCCGACAACAGACGCTCGCGCACTGGCTACATCTATCGCTTCGAGCCTATCGGACCTATCTCCTGGCAGTCGAGCAAGCAGGAGTTAATCACCCTCTCCTCAGCTAAAGCAGAATATATCGCACTCTGCTCAGCCACCAAGGAAGGACTGTACCTTCGCGAACTCTTGGAGGAAGCGAAGCTGGCTCAGTTACCCAACTTCTCCCTGTTCCGCGACAACCAATCAGCAATTCGCATAGCCAACAAAAATAGATTCGCAAATAGAATGAAGCACATCGCCCTGTGATATTTCTTCGTGAAGGACGAGATCGAGAAGGGGAGACTCGAGCTGTCTTACTGCCCCACGTCCAAGATGGCAGCTGACTACTTGACCAAGAAACTCGGAAAGCAGAAGTTCGAATACTGTATGCTGCTGACTGGACAGAGCCACGTCACCAGCAGCGACACTCCAGAAGCAAAGGGGAGTGTTGGAAACAAGTAACTTAAGCGCCTCTGTCGTGTCGAAGCACTAAGTTATAAGTGAAGCGAAACACAGCGAAGCATCGGCGAGTCAGCCCTCGGAGGTTGAACAACTGCTGGAGGTTACGCGAAAGTCAAAGGTCAGCGACCTTTGACCTGACAAGTACAGCGCAACAGCAAGGACAAACAACTGACTCGCTATTGAGCAGTTGCCCGAGTCGTCACTGTATCGAACCGCAACAGCAACAGCAAAACAGTTATCAGTTATAACTCTTCATATTCCCTTGTACTCTTATAAAAGCTTGTATCCCTTTGTTTTAATCAATCTACTTTGCCCTCACATACCAGCGCAAGGTGGTTCACAAACTTCTCATTAAACGCTTCCGCTATTACATTATTCCTACTCAGAGTTAAGTCCTGCAAAGATTCTAAGGGCTTTTCTCAGCCCAACACTCCTTTGTACCATAATCTTGTTCTAGGATTTTTTCTTAGTGAATCTACACTTGAATTCTATCAATGCATTCTAACACTCTGTCAAGAATCACTACCAGAACTCTGGCCATGCGTTCCACGCAGTTCAGCTCTCCCGTAGAATAGCATTCTCTGCATTCCCAAGGGCTAATCTTGCGGCTGGGTGGCCGTCTTGCAGACCGATGGCGCGCTTTGCGCCTCTCCTGCCCGAATCCATTATCCTCACCTGATTCACGTGCACAGATCCGCGGAAATATTCACCGTACACATGTACACTGAGTCCTCGCAAATTTCACGCCCCGTCAGTTGTACCTTAAAGCCAAGCTGACCTTTTTTTGCTATAGGGATCAAACACCCGCGAACTAGAGGCTATCTGTGACATTGTGAAGTTTTGATGCTTCCCCAACTGGCGTTGAGACCGCAACGGAAATATTAAATCTTCCGTTGCGACCATGTTTTCTTTTTGTTTTTCGCTGACTATGCGCAGCCCCATTCGTTGCTTTCCTTTAAGCCAAATTGTTTGAAACAGACCTCAAATTTGGGTAAATGTAAAATGAATATACAGGGTGGTGAAATTGGCCCTAGTTATGACGTGTTGTGACCCAAATAGGTCGGGTCGACCAGGTCGGGTTTCTCATTTCTAGGAAGGTTGCGTTGCGGATCTAGCCAACCAGCTCGACCCAACCGCGTCGGGTTGGGTCTGCCCGATTTGGGTCGACCTGGTCGGGCCAACCAGATCGATCCGACCAACTCAGCAAGATTGCGACGAGTTACCTTAGCTAGCTTTTATTCTAATTATTGTTTTTATATTAAATTGATAGAATATACTGTAAATGAGCAAGTGCATAAAATCAACAACATTCGTAACTGTGCTTGAGGGGAACGGCGCAGGCCGAACACCAGAGGGTACTTAAACAGGGCCACGTGCCTTGCGCTGCTTGGACCAGATGGCTGCAAAGCCATTTGTCCACTTCCATTTCGTCCCATCCACGGTTGTGATGTTTCCAACCAGTCGTTGTTCATCCACCAATAGTCTTGCTAACTTTCTCTTACGCATACCGCCCGCCCCTTTTCGCAGTTTCCTCTGTTGCTCTCTCAGGTAGATTCTCGCATGAAGGTAGAAAGCCCGCTCAATTTGTCGTAGAACTCGGCGCGCTCTAGATTTCCCTCCACAAAACACTGCTTCACATCGCTCCACCTAGATCTGGTGTAAACCAATCGCAGTCAGAGTTGCTTCCGGAAAAGCTGAGTCTGAGCGAGCACGCTTGAAGAGCATGTCCCCTAGCGAGGAGATGCGGCGGGCTGGATTTATCATACGCAGAGCCTGCATGATCGCCGTGGAGACCACTTGGATGGCCGGGCAAGTGGAGAGACAATGCTCTAGGGTTTCCTCCTCGCTACAGTACGGGCAGACCAGCTTGCAGCAAAGGAAGGTCACCCTCTCTCCCACCTGGAGATTGAGGCCGTGGATCCTCAGCAGAATACTGCGTGGGCGGTTAGGAACCACCCGAGAGTCCCTGATGGCAATGACCTTCCTCCAGTCTATTTGAGTGCCCCATCTGCTCGCCCACTTCTCCTGCTTGTTGGAGGCCTGGCCCGACCCCCAAAACCTCCTCATCTGCTTCAGTGAAAAAATCCCCTCGCTCGAGACATACGGTAGCTGTTGCTGCTGCGAGGCAGCCGAGCTAATGCCTCCAGCTGCCACCAACACTTTCTTCCACTCCTCCGGTGCAGCCTCAAGCGCCTTGAGCGCCAGTCTAGCCGGTGCTATCTCTTCCAACTCCGTTTTTAGCTGCTCCAATGTCTTGAAAATTTGGGCCCCGTCCGCCCTCGTGCATCTCAACTTCCCCATGTTCCAATCTTTAAGCCGAGCTGCTGCTATCTGCCCTCCCAGTGGTGTCTTTCCGTTAGGCAGGATGCGGCGGTTGAATAGTAGCGGTTCCCGCGCCACATCCCCTGCTTCCTCTGCCAGTGGCCGTTCCCCCAGCGGCGACATCAGGATGGTCTCGCAGATCATTTTCCACCTCGTCCCATGGCCTTTCCAATAGCGTATGCGGTTTCTGTGGGCCGTAAACGAGTCTAACCCCATCGGTAGTTCCGCCGCCTTTATGATTATGTCTTTTTTCAGCAGGTTCGTCTCCGTAGCGAGCATCGCCGCGCGTCTCGCAGAGAGACATGCTAATAGGATGCCCGGGTCCCGCACTCCAAGCCCCCCCAGATCCCTTGGCAGGTACACCAGCTCCCGACGCCAGAGGATGAAGCCTTTCGCCGAGGTTGGACAATTGGCCGAGACAAAGTTGTGCAGAGATCTGTCGATCTCCAGCCAGATGTCATCCGGCGGGGGATACACCTGAGCCAGGAACGAGATCTTTGGAGAGATATAGTTATTCACCACCGCTCCTCTGGCCGTTTTTGTAAGGTACTTCTCGTGCCATTTCTGCAGCTTCCCCGTAATATCCTCTAACGCCTTCTCCCATGTTGGTCTGCAGCTACCGTTTGGCGTGATCCAGACCCCCAGAAGATGCTCTGCTTCATCCGCCGCTGCCCATTTGAAACCGTCTGATGCAATCGGGTTGGAGGTAAGGTTCACACCCAGCGGCATCACGACCGATTTCCCCTTGTTCATCGCCAGGCCGGACTCTTTCGCAAACTTAGCGAGCGCCCTCACCGCTTTCTTGATTTGACATTTCCCTTGCAGGACGAGCGTAGTGTCGTCAGCATAGCCCAGGTACGCTAGTCTCTGCCCCGCCAGGCTGAGCCCCAGCTTCCTTTTTTCCGCCAACTGTGCCAACGGCTCCACGGCGCAGAGGAATATGTAAGGTGCAAGAGGGCACCCCTGCCTAACTTCCGACCGCACTTGTATTCCCTCGCTCAGCCAGCCGTTGATTAACGGCTTCGTCGTTGTCCCCTCGTGCAGGCCTTCCACCCAAGCGACAAACCGCTCCGGGAACCCCATGTTTCGCAGCACCATGAAGATGAAGACGTGCGAGACAGAGTCAAAAGTCTTCTGAAAATTGACAAGCAGAAGGTACCAGTTCTTGCTGCCGTGTTTCGCCACATCGATAACATCCGTGACTAACGCCACCGCATCCGACAACCTCCGACCAGGTATGAATCCATACTGCTCCGGGGATATGACTTGGTGCAGCACATTTTTTATCCGGTTCGCCACCACCCTCGCTAGTATCTTGTATGAGGATTTAAGCAGAGTGATCGGCCGTTAGTTGTTTAGAGAGTCCATGTCGCCCTTTTTTATGCAGTAAGATTGTAACCGCCTCCTTCGTCTCTGCAGGAAGGGAAGCAGTCGAGACGAAGTCATGAGCTAGCGCCATGAAACTGCTACCGAGGGTGTCCCAGTTGGCTTCGAAGAGTTCCTTTGGGCGTCCATCACTGCCCAGGGACTTCCTCGCCGCCATCGCCTTGAAAGCCTCCTTGACTTCCTCCTCCGTCCAGTCCGCCTCCAGCTCCCTGGCAGCATCCCATGAGAGTTTCCTGCCCGTTGTCGGAACCCACTTCCTTGAACACTGCCTGCGATCCTTCCCGAAGATGCCAGAGAAGAACTCCGCAGCCGCTCCTAGAATCCCCTTGGTGTCTGCGATTACCGCACCATTCACTTTCAGCTCCGCTATCTGAGTTTTGGCCTTCCGCGACTGAATCTTTCCCGATAGGTGCTTAGAAGCCATTTCACCAACCATCTCCTCCCTTGTCCTTGCGCAGATATGCATACGCTCCCTCCGAGACGCGTGATACTCCTTCAGCTACTTCACTTTGGACTCCAGGAGCTCCCCGTGGGCAAAGCCCTGAGGATCAGCCATTGCTTCCTGCTTTAGCCTGGCAACGGTGGCGGCAAGGTGTGAAGTGGTAGCACGGATCCGCTTGCCTTCCTCCTTGGCGTAGGCCTGGAGACCGGCATTTAATCTCGAGGTAAGAAGTTTGAAACTGCTGCCGTTAGTCACCCGCGTTCGTTTCACAGTAGCATCAAATGATCCGTTTGACCCCTGGTTTGTCAATCATGTCAGGTGGCATCTTCCAAAGACCAGGCCCAGACTTGGCCTTCAGGAACAGACGAAGGCCAGCCTTGGCAGCAAAGTCATGGTCGGATATGGTCTCTTCCGGCATGATGTGAACCGCGGAGTCAAGATGAGGTAAGAGCGAGTGTGAGAGAAGAATCCGATCTATTCTAGAGCTAGCCTCCTTTGCCCTCGAGTAGAAAGTGAATTCCTTCTTCCTTGGATGCAGGGTTCTAAATGCGTCTGAGATCTGGAAAGCGCTACAACAACGGAAAGGCTTGTCATTCTCATATGAGGAGCCGAGTTTCGAGGACTTATCAAGGATAGGATTCTCTACGAGGTTCAGGTCACCGGCGATGATAAGGTGAGATGAAGGGGGGATGAGATCTAGGACCAGGCCAAGGGTGTGTGTGATGAAAACATTCCTGGCGGTCGAGTCAGCTGGAAAGTATACGCCTAATACTATGATCTCTATGCCTAAACCGTGCACGCAGGCTTGCAGGATCCTGCCTGACGGGTGTGCGACGATGTCTCTGAGGCTGAAGTGCGGACTCCTACAGAGGAGTGCAACACCGCTGGCCCTAGTCGGAGCGGATGATGCAGCTACGGTGAAGGAGGTGAGGGACTTCCAGTAGATGAGAGGCTAATCTAGTGTCTGTCAGTATAACAAAGTCTGCAACAGTCCTAGCCCAGTCCAGTACCCTAGCTTGCTTAAAACTGTCGCCTAAAACGTTAACATTAAGTGTCGCGAAGATGAGGGTGTCTTTATTAACCATTGACGACAGTGAAATGACCCCTACGCATCCACAAGGTAAGTGAGACTACGACGCCAACTGCAAAGAGTACTACCGACACTGCTGCTGAGATGCAGCCGAGCCGCTGGAGGTCTTGATCCCGTAATCCTTCAGCATGACGCCTAGGCTTGCCTTCTCTAATGTGAGTCTGGTGGCTGTGCCGAGCTTCTCGAGGTGCGAGAGATGTCAGATTTATATGACATAGCTGTTGTAGGCTATAGTGGGGTAGCACATATGGGGTACGAATTTCTAGGGTTTGTACTTGTACCCAACTTTCCCTTAGTCAATTCATTCTCGTTCTCACTTTCTCATGGTATCGAGCAGGTTCCCTCGTGGGAACTGTTCCTAGGGCCCACCGATCCTCCCTTTTTTTTCTGCCCGGGGCGCGTCCTGCCCCTGCTCGAAGCGAGCCTAGGGTCGCGCCCTCCTTAGCGGCCCGTCGCGTCGCCCTTAGCGGCCCGTCGCGTCGCCCTTAGCGGCCCGTCGCGCCGCCCTTACGGCTGGGTCGCGCAGCCCTAACCGCCGCGTTGCGCCGCCCTTTCACAAGCGGCCCGTCGCCGCCCTTCTCCTACGGCCCGCCGCCCTCAACTGCGGCCCCGCCGCCCTCAACTGCGGCCCCGCCGCCCTTCTCTGCGGCCCCGCCGCCCTCTGCTGCGGCCCCGCCGCTCTCACCTGCGGCCCCGCCGCTTTCACCTGCGGCCCCGCCGCCCTCAACTACTGCGGCCCCGCCGCCCTCAACTGCGGCCCCGCCACCCTCAACTGCTGCGGCCCCGCCGCCCTCAACTGCTGCGGCCCCGCCGCCCTCAACTGCGGCCCCGCCGCCCTTCTCTGCAGCCCCGCCGCCCTCTACTGCGTACTGCGGCCCCGCCGCTCTCACCTGCGGCCCCGCCGCTTTCACCTGCGGCCCCGTCGCCCTCAACTGCTGCGGCCCCGCCGCCCTCAACTACTGCGGCCCCGCCGCCCTCAACTGCGGCCCCGCCGCCCTCTGCTGCGGCCCCGCCGCTCTCACCTGCGGCCCCGCCGCTTTCACCTGCGGCCCCGCCCCTCTCGTTGGCGGCCCCGCCGCTCTCATCTGCGACCCCGTTGTCAACGGGAGTTGGGTATTGGCCCCGTCCTCGCTTGGGCGGAGCCGACTTCGTGGTCGGGTGTGAGGGGATCAGCCGGCCTTCAGCAGTGGGTGAGCTGGTCGACAAGGAGGTCGACCTGCACGGGGGACCACTGCACGGGCGCCGACTTCAGGGTGGCGCCGACTTCAAGGAGGTCCACTTGGGTGTCGACCTGCGGAGGACGTCAACTTGGTGACGTCAACTTGGGGAAGCCGACTTCGGCAGTCGGCTAACGGACTGCTGGTCGACCTGTTAGTGGTCGACTGGACCTGGTGGTCGACGAAGGAGGGGCCGACGTCGACCTCGACTCAGGACGCCGAGCAGTTGGGCGTCGAGTAGCGGGGCGTCAACTTCGTGACGCCAGCTTCGGGTGGCCGACGTGGGTGGTCGGCCGACGACTGTGCTGGTCGACGAGGAGCAGGTCGACCAGGAGTGCTGGTCGACGTGGAGCTGGTCGACCAGAGGGGATGTCGACCTGGAGGAGGTCGACCGATGGTGTCGTCGACCTGGTGAGGTCGACGTGGAGGTGGTCGTCGACTTGGGAGGTCGACGGGCACGTACGGGAGCTGCTGGTCGACGTGGTTGCCTGGTCGACCAGGTTACCTGGGTGACGAAGTGCTGCGGAGGAGTGCGACGGTCGCCCAGGCGAAGTTGGCGAGCCCGACCTCGGTGGTGGTATCCCGAGGTCGTCGTGGTGGACCAGAGGCAGTCGTCAGCTCGAGGTTGACGTGGTGTGTGCGCTGTGCAGGTGACAAGACTCTGCGCACCAATCATCTGCGCACAACTACGAAGCAGGGTGCACTGCTGTCCTGCGTGAGCAACGCTGTCACGCCGTCAACCTGCGACGTTGGCACGCCGTCGACCTTGCCTTGCTGGAGCGCGGTCGACGAAGTCGTGCTGGAACGCGGTCGACCAAGCTGCGCTGGCAGTTGGCCGACCTGAATGCTTGCTCTGATGTAGTCTTGCATTGCCAACTTCATTGTACCAATTGTTCTAAATTTCTCCTCGTGCAACTCTTGCCAACTTTCCCCGTGAACTAGCAAGTAGTGTGCGCACAAGGAAAACGACTAAGGAACAGAGAACGCAGAGATCACACGAGCACACGTGCCTAGCCTGCAGTCTAGCTCCCGTTGTAGCAGTTATCTCCGCATGGTGCGGTGAGCGTGGACCGCACACGCGACGTAGTTCAGTCTAGCCGACTTAGCACATACTGATCATGTTCGTAGACCGGCAGCCGTGAAGTCACTAGCGTGCGCGTATGCGACGCCGAGGTGATGGACACCCTGGAGGGACGGCTGGAGGATGCGAGGAGACGCCATGAGGCCCAGGAGTATGGGGCGATATCCTGGGCAGTCGTCGAGGCCGGACCCTGCTCCGTGTGGGCGGCGGAGCATCCCCCTTCTCGACCTGCCTCTCCTCGACCGGTGAACAACGACGGCGGCGTCGATGTGGGCGTCAACGCCGGTGGAGGTCAGGTCGGCAGCAGTGTGGGAGGCACGTCGAGGCAACGAGGTGTGATACACGCCGGTGAAGCCGGCGGCGTTCAGGCAAGAGGGATGCAGTCGTCGGCGGCTGCAGGCTCTTCGCGGGGTGACGTCGGAGGTCGACGTAGTGGGCTGTTGACGATGTCGGCGTCCCAGGCGACGGCGGGTGGGATTGCACCGAGCTACGGCTACTTCAAGTTTACGCCGGACAGGATCTCGGTCACCCCTCCGCTGGTCGGTCGACCCGACATACTCACCTGGAAGGAAGCCATCGAGCCCCAGCTGGAGATGGCCGGGCTGATCGGCTTCGCCCGAGGGACCGTGGTGACGCCTGGAGAACACCACCCCGACTTGCGGGCGGAGTTCCGCGCCGTGCAGCTGTTGACCTTCACGGTCATCTCGCGGTGCTGCTCGCCGGGCGTGCAGATCGCCTTAAAGTGGTGCCGGGAGTACATCGACGCCGGCCACCGGGCGTGGCACTTCATTGAGTCGACGTACCGGGTCACCGATGACCTGTTCATCGCCCAGCTGGAGGGACAGCTGACGCACCTGCGTATGGGTGACGAGGAGACAGCGACTGACTACAGCAACCGAGCCCGGCGAATTCTCGCCACTATCAGGATGGCCGGCGCGCAGTACTCCACGGCGTCGTACATCACCCATGTCATGCAGGGACTTTCTAGCAGCTATAACCTCCTGAAACGGCTGTCCATGGCGCCGAGCACAAGGGCGACGCTCAACGAGGACAACCTGACCTCATACATCCTGCAGGACAAGGCGATGCAGGAAGCTGAGCGGTCACAGGAACTCTTGGTGCAGGCCAACTTCGTCGCCCCGGCAAAGCAAGGAGGCCGACCAGGAGAGCGCGGACAGTCTGGTGGCGGCGGGAGCGGTGGCTGGAAGTCGACCAAGGAGGTCGAGAAGAAGTCGACCAAGGACGGCGGTCAAGGAGGGGGAGGTCGACGTCGGGAGTGCTGGATCTGCCACAGCCCCAATCACCTCTCCTTCGAGTGTCCCGACCGCAGTGACTCCGACGACGACAACAAGGGCGGCCGCGGGAGGTCGAGCAGTCGTCGTCCTCATCGAGGAGGAAACCGGCCGCGCAAGGAGAAGCAGTCGACCAAGACGTCGACTTCGGCGAACGACGCCGACTCCCCTGCTGGCAGCAAGGCGCGGGATGACAAGACGGCGTCGTGCTCGCTGGTCGGCGTCGTGGAGCCGACCGTCTCGCTGGCGCCGGAGGCCGGAGAGGACTTCCAGGCGGTGGCGGCAGCTGTGCAGGCGAACCC